GCACGAAAAGTGCAAAAACGCATAATCGCACCGGCCCGCCTGGTGCGTTCCAGCCTGGGTTTTAAAAGGAGACAATGCTCTTCACCATTCCTAATAAAAATGGAATAGTAAGCCAAATTCATCAGTTGCGGTGCTGAGTTAAGACGTTCACAACTGAATGGGTCGAAATGTCTTATCTCATCATTTTTGTCTTATCTTTTTTTATCTTTTCTGGCCTCACCACGCTGCCTTAAGATGTAAATATCAAGGGCTGACTAGGCGAAATATTCTTTACAAAAAATCTGTCAATTGAGTGCTTTTCGCTAACATTTCAACGTTTTCCATGCAATTATTCTTTCGGTGCCTGGCTGCTGATTCTACAGTAAAAATAAAGCAACTACAGACATGATGACTTTATGTCCTTTTATAAAACTCTTACAAGTTGTTATCATTTTTATAAATTTACCTCTCTTCACAAAATTTTAAAAAACTGTCAAAAATTACCTTAAATATAAAATCATGCATTAAAGAACGTAATACATGATTTTACCTTTAAGCAAAAACTTTGGTCTTAAATTGCACATTTACCCACTGGCATTTCAGGAAAAAACTGAGCATCAAAAAAGTGGTAGCCTTGAATATGGAATTTCTGGCGACCACTGATTTTTGGACATGAAAAACAACTTTCATGTCTAATGAATATGAAATGATCCTTGCTCTACTCGCAAGGGTCACTTCATTTTACTTAAAATACTGTTTTGCAGATGAGTACTTTGAGGGTGTGTAGCGATTAGTATTAAGTCAGGCTGCAACGCACTGGGCGGGTCGGTGCGCATGCGTTTTTGCATCAAACTTAAAGTAATCAGGTTAAATGCATGAATGGCTGTTTTTCACATCTGCTTTGCGCGCTCAACACCGTAAATCATCATAAACCTTACACAGACGGAAGTAAATAATTTTCGTTTAGAGGTCACTTTTGAAAATGACCCAGTCGTTCAATCAGAAGTTTACCCGCCAATAAGCGCCTACACACGAGAACCATGCATAACTTGAGATTGAATTTGAAATCTTTACGATATATTTGGATGGGGAATATTCTCTTAAAATCTCAGCTTTTCAGCTTTTCTGAATCCTGAGTTAGCCATTTTCCCGCCCAAAAAGTTTCACAAGGTCGTACTTGAAAACCGCGCATGTTTGACGACCGGATTTGATAATTTCAAGTTTTACATTGATTGTGAACATACCCTTAAAATTCCAGCTCCCCAGCTTTCTTCGTTCCCCAGTTAGTCGTTTTCCACCCAAAAAATTTCACGAGGCCGTACGTGGAAAACACGCATGCCTGGGGACTGAGTTTCATAGCCTTAAAATGTACACGGACTAGGAACATCCTTTTAAAATATCAGCCTCCCAGCTGTCCTCTTTCCTGAGTTAGCCATTCTTCCCGCCAAAAATTTCCACGGAACCAGACGTGAGAATCATGCACGTCTGGTGGCTGGATTTAATAATTTTATGTTGTACGTAGCTAGGAGCATCCCTTTGAAACTTCAGACTCCCAGCTTTCCTGGTTCCGAGTGAGCCTTTCCCGTCAAAAAGTTTCATGGGACCATGCGTAAGAACCACGTATGCCTTGGGCCTGAATTCGATTACTTCAAGTTTTATATGTGCTGGGACATTCTTTGAAAATTTCAGCCTCCCAGCTTTCCTGGTTACCAAGTTAGCGGTTTTCGCGTCAGAAACCTTTACTGGACTGTACGCGGCAATCATGCACACTCCGGAGCTGAATTTGAAATGAGTTCTATGTGGACGGGGAACATAACCTCAAAAATTCAGCTTTCTATCTTTTCTCACCTCCGAGTTATCAATTTTCCCGCCAAAACTTTTACCCCCGGTGCGCGGGGTGTCCAGACCTGGGTGAGGGTTGATACCGCAGTTCTGGGGCGACGGAATTTGTTTGGTTGCCGAGTTGAAATACCCGGACAGACGAACACACACGGAGACAGGGTCGTTGCAATATGCGTTTCTGCAATTTACATATAAGCAAAAACGCATTACAGCAGCAGCCCATCAGTTTGGTAGCAGAAGTGACAACAGCCGTGTGTTTTCTGGCCGCTGATCAGTGGGTACCATCGGACGCACAAACAGGCACCCATAAATAAAGTGATCGTTTTTGGATATATTCCAAAATTGCAATGATGTGCGCAACGACGAAGTGTAGCAGCGTGCAGCAGTGTATCAGACAGTGGTATTCTAGAACGCGTGGATTGCGGCAAGCTGAATTTTTTATTTAGCTTGGAATTGCTGGAGGAGCAATTTGTGTATGCGTGAAAAATTATTATTGAGATACCTCGTGTATAATCCGACTGATAATAATCATTGCCCGTCTCAGCTGCTCCTGCTGCACCACCACTTCTTGCTGCAGCTGCAACTGCTGTGCATATGTCCGAGATTGTCGGTTGTGTTTGTGCGGCCGAACGATAATTTTCCGCCGTTCCGGCTGCAGCTTGGGCCATTTGGACCGCACGTGCCACCGGTGAATCGTCACGTTGTCTGGGTGAATTAGCTGCGGCCTGGGGAGGAGCAGCAACTCCTGCTGCTACTGCTGTTTCGTTGAGATTTAGGCCTCCGGCACGTGCTTTCGCTATTACAGCGTCCATTTCGACACGTGATGACAAGAGGAGCCGTACACGTTGGTCATGGATACGGCGATTGTCAAAACGCATCGCCTGGCGTGCATCCTCATCGGTTGCAAAACCGATGAATGCATCACCATCGGGGCCGCCAACAATATGCACCGCACCATCCGGAATTTTAAGGCCCGCGAAAAAAATGCGAATATCTGCAGCAACGGCTGACAGAGGAAGATGTTGTAAGCGTATTATCCAGGACATTCTCGCACGCGAGCGTCAATCAAGTAAAGAAGAAGACTTTCACCTAAATCAGATGAAGCACTTAAATGTTTTCATTTTTAACAGAGACACGTTTTCCCGCGTTTCCACGTACCTCCCGAACCGCAGCCGAAATGAGTGCACGTTCTTTACCGAATAAATACTCATTTACGTGACCTGTTGAATTTAAGCACAATTATAAAACCTATTCAAGGAATGTAGTGGAAAATCCGAGCATTTGAAAGTACTTTGAACATTGGCGTATTTAAAATGTATCATTTTGTTTTCAAAAATCACGAATTTTCCAAATAAATTACTATCTACAAGAAATCACCACCATTAGCTTGCTTCTAAGCAACTCTCGAAAAAGGGAGACATCGGCAGTCTTGACAGCGAATGATTACTGCTGTTCGCATTCGTTTCCAGGTACTCCGCTTTTTGCAAAAAACTTTTTGTAGGGAAGGTTCTGATTCTTGGCAATCTTTTTTTGGCAACAGTAAATGGCCATTTATTGGATAGAATTCTGTGCTTTAACTTCTCAGAATGTTTTAATGGAAGTACGATGAGAAAGAAAAAAAAAAAAA